AAGAAGTGAACTTTGTTACTTTTCTTTAAAAAGCATATCCATGTGACTTTGAATTGGCTGGCTCTCCCTTCTGCACAGGCACATGCATGCAGCAGTCCTTCTGCTTTTCAGGAGATGAAGCAGGTGAAATGTTTTGCTAAGAGCCAGTGCCTGCAATTGCATGTGTTACATCCCATAGAGGATATCGCTTTGTACGACTGCATAGTCACAACAAGGTGCAGTGGAGAACTAGGCTTGGAGTAATCTGTCTCTCTACCAAGATGGGTGAATAGCATAGTGGTAAACCCAAGCTGACTTGGCTTCACTGCTTCTGGGCTGGAGGTACTTGCTTCCGGCTGTCCCAAAATGTGGAAGGAGTGGACATACAACAGCTTATGCTCAGAGAGGGCTGTGTCAGGCACTGCCTGAACACTGGCAGACAAGCATTGCATAGAACATGAGCTGTGTGTGCACCACACCTTTTTGTCCTAGTTATTTCCTAAATCCTTTTCTCCCAAGGCAAGCACATCAGCTGCCAATCAAACCCTTGAGAAGACTTTCTTTGCAGTCTCACTCTTCTGGTCCTCTGTGTTTGCATTTCCTGTTTGCTTCTTCTCTCCTTCTCTCCTCTACTTTTGTTCATATGGTTCAACACTGCATGGTTCCTTCAGCCCCAGATATGTGACAGTGCTGGGTGAGATCAGCAGTCTGTCCTGCTCAGCTGAAAGGAGAAAGAACTGGGTGCTCTGAAGAGTTTAAGAACAATGCAAAAAAAAAAAAAAAAAAAAGAAGTAATGTCTTTGCCTTTTCATGTAGCATTAGGCTTACTTTGGTGTTCATTTTGTCTATAGAGACGCTTACTTAGAATGAAGAAAGTATTCTAGATGAATTCTCTGGCTTATCATTTCTCATTCTTCTTGCTGTCACACAAAATAAGTATCTCTTTCTAGGTTGTCTGTGTTATATATTTAGTTAGGCAAAGTATTGACCATTCGCTCCCTAAATAACTTTCCTCAGTTGTCTGTAGTGAAGGTTAATGAGAGAACTGTCAAAATCAGTATTGAGCTGTGAGTTTTGTCTTTGTGAGAAACCTGCAGCCTTTTGGTCAAAGGTTTTCTTTTAAATTCATGAGCTTAAAAAAGTGTGTAACACTCTTCAGACAGGCTTAGTTCATTTGAAATCAGGCTTGTATCAATTTAGATTAGACAGACAAGGATCGATGCAAGCTGTCGTCCATACCAGCCAATGCTAAATTGAACTGACAGCAACCACACAGTGGTTTACACTAGTTTAATCACTGGTTTTAAAAACAACATTGAACTGCTATGACCACCTTGTAAAGAAGGGCTTTGCTCTACCCCCAGACATGTTGCCTGTGGGCTTTAGTTGAAACAACAGGAGCAATGATGAGCATTTCTTATCCTTCTCCTTCTGCATGCACCTCTCTCAAGACCTTTCTGTTTTACAGGGCAGAAACTCCAGAAGGTTTTAAGGAAGGACACACCCAGGTGGAACAACTCAGAGCTATGTAGCAGTATTTGCTCCAAGCAGTGTAGCTCAGGGACTGTGATGCCCCCCACTGGTGATATGTCCAACCTAAGTAAGCTGGGCTATACCTGCCTTAAAAAGTACAGCCAGCTAGGACTGTGGGCTGCATGGTAGCTGAGAGGTACGTGGCATGAAGAAATATGGATGAGCACTTAATGCTGTTCTTGCTGACCTTCCATTTTCTGCTGCTGACTGCTGGGCTCTGGGTAGGAGCTGCAGGACACCTGCTGCTGTTGCCTGTACTGCAGGCTGAACTCGGCCTCCTGGAGCTAGTGCAAAATACCCTAAGAGCTTCCCCCCTAACACAGACTTTTGGAGGAGCAGTTTTTCTTTTCTGAATAAAATAAAGGAGGGTTGAGTGTTTGGTTATTTTACAAAACCTCTTTGAATTTCATTTTGCAGAGCAGACCTAAAAGGCAAAATGAAGAGAGGTTTGCCTATTAATAAACTACGTCCAGGTCCCAAAATCTGCAGTTACGAAAGAACTGGGGAAGTTTGAGCTGTGTCTGGTGTCCCAACTGCCTATGATACTGTTACAAGCAACAAACACCCTCCTCCCTCAAACAAAAAAAAAGGGGGAGAAGAAACCAAAACCCCAATAACCTATTTACAGCAGGCCTGTGCTGGGTATCTAACTTCCTTGGAAATTAATCTGGACAACTTCCCAGATAACATATCCGTCCCTCTATTTCCTATCTCAAGGATAAAGTTGATCAGAGAAGAACTGTAGAGGACTGGTGAGTTATTCTCCGTGTTTATCAGGGTAGCACCTGGAGGTGATCTGATCTTCCCGCCTCCTCAAAAAATAAATCTGTCTTCCCTTGGCTAGCTCACAAATCTGCACTCAAACCCTTCTGTGCCAAACATGTGCAGGTGTACAGTATGTGTGTTACTACTGAGCCATCTGCAGCCTCCCCTGCATGGCAGTTGTTTTACTTTGGAGTTCCTTTCCCGACCAAATGGAAGTCCGCAGACAGTTTCAATAGCACAAATTAAGAAGCTAATGCTTTCTCACAGTGAGATCAGCTTTCCCTGAGCTCACGTTGCAGGAACAGGAGATTTTTACTTTCATCTTGCTCGTCTCAGTAAAGCAAATATATGACAAGCAAAGGAAGAGATATTGTAGGGTTCACCTTTATCCCTCACACAGCGCCTTTGTGCACAGACAGTCCTACTGAAGGAAAAGAAATGATAAGGATTAATTTTCACACTGAGGGGTTTTGGTCAGCTGGTCTGAGAGCACTGAGGATATGCCCACCCCCAGACCTGGCCTCCTCAGCAGAACCACCCTGGATCTCAAAATCACACTGAGCATCCACTGTCAGATATATAAGGCATCCCAGCTTCCCATCCCTCTCCTAGAAAGCACTGGCTTCTCCCTGCAGAATAAGCCATTTCCTATCTCTAGCCTCCTTAGATTGTGACCTGCTCAGCATTACTGTGAGAAAAAAAAAAAAGCAGCCCTTTTGTTTGTAAGGGAAGGAAGACAGTAGTGCAGTAGTGTATCCATGAAATTGGGAATGTCACCATTTTCCAGTTGTCCCAGTTGGTGCAACAGAAAGCATCGATGTGCCCTCCTGTTTTTCAGAAACCTCAGGGAGCTGTCAGCCAACACGCTGAGCTGGTGAAATTGATGGCTAACTAGATGAGCAAAAGTGCACTTTGGGGACCTCCCCGTAGTCTGTCGTTCACTAATGTTGTCCTCCCCTTGACTTCCGTGGGCTTCCCAGGGAGCCAGCTGTTCCCTACACATAGGTCGGCATCTATGTTGCATTTCTGAGTGTAGGCACAGCTGTGAGTGGTGAACCAGAAACAGGTAGAGAACTTGTCCTAGTACCATCAGGAGATAGTATGGATGATGAAATCTGGAGGCTTCCCGCAGCATCTAGGCACTTCTGCCTAATGTGGCTTCGGACCCCAAAAGCTATGCCCAACTGAGTACTGGGGGCCTACAAATAACATGCTCTTAAAAATCCCAAACAAACACTGAGAAGCTTTCAGCCCTACTGAGCAGTTTCTTTGTGTAACATTTTCAGAGATTTCTTCCTGAGAAAAGGCAAGTAGACACTTTTCTCTGTTTATTGTTCCTCCTGTTTCTCTAGCACCATTACTGAAGTCAACCTTGCTGCAGAAACCCACCCTGCCTCTGCCCACACCTGCCCAGACCCACAGAGAGAGGTGAAAATTGTGACTGGATGAACAAATTTTTCAAGGCCAGGCTGGACAGAGCCTTGGGTGACGTGGTTTAGTGCGAGGTGTCCCTGCCCATGGCAAGGGGGTTGGAACTTGATGATCTTAAGGTCCTTTCCAACCCTAACTATTCTATGATTCTATGAAATCAGTGCTTCAAAAGAAGTGTTAGCTGAGTTAGCATAATCCATTTCTGCTCCTCACAACTTCAGGAGCTTTTTTTATTTGCATGTTTTCTATTCTTCTGTGTGGTTCTGTATTTTAGCAGGAGGGACAAAAGATGGGTTAGACCACATCATTTGATCATTTGATGAAAAGGAAGAATTTCAGATGTGGAATTTCTGCATATCAGCAGGATAAACACGTCAGCTCAGACTTTTCTGGACTGAAGTCAGAATGTTTAAAATTTAAAACCAAGCCACACAGCAAAGGTGTGCTTTCGCAAAGAGTCTAAAACTGACCCCCCAAAATTACTGAGACCCTCCCTTGTTTGTGTCATGTAAATAATCTGGAAAGCATAATATTTAATATAAGGAGCCAAGTGTTTCACATAAGGTTAAGCTGCATAAAACCGTATACTGCACTTGTAGAAAGCCTGCCTGTGTTTGCTTGAAACAATACGAAGGGCCTCAGCCAGTGTTTCTGGCAAGTGGAAGATCTTTGATTCTCCCAATGCCTACGAAGTACTGTCTGCATCTCTGATAAAGTCACTGTTGTCTCCAACTCTGAGAAGGCACTTAAGGTTTCTTCAGTCCTAGTTTGTATTCTCTTTGCTTTTGGCTTTTTCTCCCTCCTCCTTCCTACTTCTTCCCCTCCTCCCATCCCCAGCTTCCTTTTATATGTTAGTTCCTAAGGAGAACAAGAAAAGCAAGAAAAGTAGCCCCAAACTGACATTCAGTTATTATAGGAAGTTTTTGTAAGTGCATTTTATAAGTTGTGTTGTGTGTTCCTTTTACTAAAAAGATTTACTAATCCCCCTGGAATGAAAATGATTCAGGAAGTGTCAGTTCAAAGTTATTCAGAGAAGTAATTAGCAACCTTAGCCAGCTCTTAGAAATACCAGTTTAGGCCAAATCCTTGTGCACAAAACTTTCTAGTTACTTATTGTGTCTGCAATGCAGACACAGCCTGACCTTGGATAAATGCTCTGTTCACCGTTTGTCTCTACAGGCAAGCAGCCATTAATCTAGTATAAACATCAATATTTTTGCAAAATATAATCTTCCCCCAGCATCACTTTATCACTTTGTGATGTACAAAGTCTTAAACTTAGTTAAACTCACCACATGCACTGTTTCTCTTAAGTACAGTTGTTTCCTGCAGCAATCAGGTGCTGTTCACACAGAAGTTCTTGACTGTCCTTGACTCTGCCTTGAAAGGGAACACACCCTCTGTGAAGCAGAGATGCAAGAGTAAATATTTGGCAAGGGTATGTTCCTTTCTGACCTGCTCCCTTTGTGCATGGTCAAAGATTTTATTTTAGCGAAGGTATTGTATTCCTTCCAATGAACCTGAACACTCAGCTGTCTTACTGACATCAATCTGGCAGTTTCTGTGTGAATGATTTCAGTGTCATTCCCACGTAGAGGAGCTGTCCATAAAAGCAAGCAGTGGCATCAGTTTCCAAACAGACTGAACACAACGACTTGACTTACATATAAAGCACTTTCCAGCCTGACAGTTGTCAAAGTGCCTGTCTTCCAGTGTCTAGTGCGTATTTTGTTTTCATTCTTAAGTGAACTCCAGTCAAAGCATTGATATGCATGCATACTGTGTGTGGAATCACCTATGAAAAGAATCCTGTGCTTCCAGCCTTCTCAGGTTTCATGGAAGCTGGTCTCATTTCCATGTACAGAAGAAACCAGCCTGGGCTCAATAATTTTATCCTTGCCTCGGAAGTTCTCTCTTTTAAGTTCCAAGGGTGGAAGATAGCCATGCCTTGTTTCAGGGCTACATTACTGCATTTTGCAAATGGCAGGAACTGAAAGCTTAGTAACATTTGGGAAGCCAGAGCATTACTTTAATGGAAGAAATGATCAAATTAGCTAAAGAAACCTCACTATGACAGATGCCATCCTGGCTGAGCAGTTTACAATTTACTACCACAGAAAGAGCACAGAGGAAGGTAAATACTGACAAAAGAGCATTCTTTTCCAGGCAAACTGCTTTTGAGATGAATGCCAGCTCCTTACCTTATAATGAGATATATCTATAAATCCTTTATGTGAAAGGTTAATAGGAGCTGGCAGTCTCTGACTTGTGCAGTTCATTCAGTGCTATAAGGAAAGAACCACAGGCAGCACATAGGCAGAAATGAGCCTAAGTGCCAGAAGTCAAAACTGGTATCTCCCACAGTGATTAGATGGCACATTTGATATATGCTAAAGCAGGGCGACTGACAAATAGCTACTATGTGGAGGTGGCAAGATCTTATATATATAGTAACTACTTTGGCTGTCTAAAGCCGAGCCATTCCATACGTTTTTTTAAGAAGTCCTAAAAACCTACAGCCAACCACTGTAATGAATTCAGGGGGTAGTTTAATGGAAATCTCAAGAAGGAATGTAATTAGATGAAGTCAATTAGGCTGCTTGGGGATTTCTAGCTGCTGTTGTTGCTATCTGGGAACCCTAATAGGACGATTAGGATTAACTGAAATCAGCCTGATTGATTAGGGCATATAAACCTACATATGCCAAATTCCAGGGGGACAGCGTGTTTGAGCTTGAATCCATCTGGAGCTATGAGTCAGGAGGATGAGTTTACTTTTCTGGCCTTGGAGAAAGCGACAGATCAAGACTAGATACGCACAATGCAAGCAAAGCCAAGCAGTGACAGAGAAAGGCTGCGAGGGAAAGAACTGATTTTATCTGTTACGGCACTATGTGTGAAGGCCATCCAGTCTATGCTGAGGAAGTGAGACTAATACTAAGCAGATCTTTTCCTTAGAAAAAAACAAACCAGGAATGTGTGTGTAACAAAATACATCTACATCTTCTTTGTACAGCTTTTTAGGCACAAGTCTTTACTCAGTATGGCTGTGAAATTTCCCCGGATGCCGAAATCTTGTTATTACTGCAATTCTGTTAGTTCCAGAGCCAAATTTGAAAATGTGAACTTAAAAGTGCATGAAAAAACTGTCAGTGAGTAAATCCTCATGCTTCTGTGTTACGGGATCAAGCACACTCATGTTTATTTGCATACATTTAAAATTCAACCTATGCTGTGCATGGGAACCCCACCTGCAACCTGCTTTAGAGGACAGCTGAGTTATCTTGGCTGTATTTGTTGCAGAGAAAGATCCTTACGACCACAAAAGTATTTCAGGAATAAAGGCTGGGGTGTGTGTTGGGGGGAAGCAGAGAGAAGGGGGGGGACAGGACAAAAGACCAGCTCTCTCTATTCAAAGAAGCTGCTCTAAAGCAAGGTAAAGCACCCAGACAGAAGCTTAAAGGATCTGATCCCAGTCATTACCACTCATGTGAGGGAGAGGATATGTCAAGGGTAGGGAACGTCTTGGGGGACCTGCAATATGGTAACTCACTTTCAGCTAAGTGGAGAACAACAGCTTTAGCTGTACAGTTTAATAACAGGCTAGGCCACTTTGTGCACCGGCAGGGCTGTTAATGCACAGTAGTCTGCCTTTCATTGTTAGGAGAGGAACCCCGCAGTTCCCACTTGACAGCCAGGAGTAAAATTATTTTGCCACTAACATTTCTCTTCGGCATGAGACAGTGGGGTTGCACATTGCACTCATCCTGCCTGCAGCCCTCTGCACCTGCAGCTCCCTGCTCACAGCACAGAAAGGTTCCCATGGGCTTGGAAGCAAGGGATTTTTGCTTTCCTCCTGCGGCTCCCATGCTATTCAGCTCTATTTGGGTGGCATACCCGCCTGTGTACCATGGCTGCCAGCTGTGGAGTGCTGTGCAGCATCCTGGAGTGCCTCCAATGGTATTTTGAACAATTAGCAACCAGCCCGGCATGATCATATCCTAATGAATTACTGAACTGTTTTCTTCTTGTTGAATACTGGGCTAAATGCTGAAAGAAAGTGGACACCTGCAGATTGTATTGGCCAAGACCTGTCAGTGAGAATTTGCCTGAGTTAAGACCACAGGACTTGCCTCAGCCCTTTCCAAATATGTCCTATATTGACCTTAATAATGTTAATTTCTCTTGCCGTTTAGAAAGTATGCATCACATCGGCATCACGCTGCAATTCAAAGGAACAGAGGCCCTATCATAACACCAAATGCCACAATCACTGCATGGCACTTCCTTTAGTTACCTGCTGACCCATGAAAGCATTTTTCTTCCATTAACTGGGCTTTATTAGGAAATGATGGGGAGCAAAGGATTTTTCCCAGTACTGCCAACTTGCCCATATTATTAATAATCCAGCTCATGTAGTCACAAAGCCAGTGTAAATCTTCCAAGAGAAAAGCCATTATCAAAAATAGATTACTCAGAGAAAAATGTCTGAATTTATCCAATATTTGTTTGCATCTCTTGCTCTATTTTGCATCATCTTATCAACATACTAATTTGAACGTTTATAAAATTTATAAAAATTTGATCTGGAAATAATTTTAATAAAAGCACTTGATTCACTGAGAAATATTGTATAATATTTCCAATAACAATATTAACATAAAATTTGGTAAAAATAAGGAAAAGGAATCTCCTTTGAATTCTGCTCAGCAGAAACTATTTTGCTATCCCCCCCAACAAGTCAAGCAGCTTTTCTCCTTTTCATAAGTGTTTCATATCTATGGCTCTGATTTTGTGGTAGGTGTAATCATATAGGTAAATCTTTCAGCAAAAGAGATCACCTCTGACAGCAGATACTAGTGTGTTTTCTGTAACAAACCAGTTACTATTGACTGGGGCAACTGCTAACAGAGACGATGTTCTTTGTGTTGATTTTTTTTGTGTGCTATAATTCTATTTTTCATTAAATTGTTTTATTGCACCTGGCCTGCAGGAAGATTTCATCTGTATCAGAAATGGCTTGACTGTTCATTTTTATTCTAGTTTAAAAAAACTAAAATCCCCATGTTTCTGGTAGTTAGTGCCATTTTTCTTCACATTGAATCCCAGTATCCAGACAATTCTGGATAAGCAAGAGATACGGCAGGCAGCACTTGTTTCTATAGCTAGACCATTTCACAGCTTATTTCATTTGCTAAGTTTTCACAAGATTTACCAGAAAGTCTGAGAAACTTAGGGGAAAAATACAGGATTGTTTTTAACATGGTGGCATTTGACCAAACAGGAGGGAGGAGGAGGGGGAATGGGAAAGTCAAAAGCGTAATAGAGGCTGGAAATTCTTGAACAGATGTAGCAGGTGTAAACATGATTCCTTATTTTGGTTCCTGGATTTAACATCCTCCTACAAGACTTCCATGTGCTCAGAAAAAAGGTTATATGTGCAGATGGTAAACTGCTAAAATGCCCAGAAGGTTCAAAGTCATCTGCACTTGTGAGGACAGGGAGAATTTCCCATCATCTGACTCACAGGTGTTTAGCGCACTCTGAGTTAGAGGCAGGTTCGGCAGTGCCTCTCTGCTTGAGCAGATGCCCTAGGCTGTGTGTTAGAAACATGCAGGCTCTTTTTCTCATGATGTCCAAGCGGCTAAGAACATTAGGAGAGCTCCCTGGAGCAAGGAGGTGGGGAGAGACTTTTTGGCATGTGGTCCACACAGTCATTACAAATTGAGGCTCTGGGCTGTTGCTGTCCCTGGGCTGCTGCTCTCTCTTCCTGACACATTGCGCTGCCTCGGGTCACTGCCTCACTGCTTGCCTGCCCATTGTAGTTTTGATCATACATTCCCTTTTGGCACAGGATGATTATTTTCTGCATTCTGCTAGGTCCTCTTCCTGTTTGTCCCTATTAGTCCATGGCCAGCACAGGAACGAAAAGAAGCAGGTGTCTTAAACGCTTGGCTGACACGCTGGAATGGGGATGCACCGGGGACAGCTCTGACTGCATGAGTACCGCTCGCAGCATGCTCTGACCAGCCTCACTCAGCACCAGCAAGCAGCGAGAAAGCATGAGGCCTGCCTCCAAAAGCCTCGCTCATTATTAATAATAAGCATACCTGTCAGGTCTTGTGTGGTGGGAGGTATTATGATACCACCATCAGGTGGGCAAAAGGATGGACACTGCCTCCACAGGTTTGCCCTCAACCCAGGATTGCCCTGAAGGCTCCACTCAGTCCATCCCATCTGCCTCCACCACAGTGTCCAGCTGAGGCTACCGCACTACTGTGTCAGATGTCCCCATTGCTGTGATGGGCTGACTAGCACTTGGGAGTCCATGACTTTGGCCAGATCCTCAGATAGCATAAATTGGTTATGTCAGCTTAACAGCTGGCCTTCATGCCAGCCAGCCTTCACCAGCATCACTCCAAATATGCTGCAGGGTCAAAGAGAGCCTCTCAGGACCTCCCTGAGGAGCAGCTGGCTCAATCCAAATCTAGGTGAAATGTAAACTGTGCTGATGGAAAGAGAAAAAGTAGTCAAAGTACCCACTACTTCCTCCCCTCAGCAAGCACCCCACTGGTTTTGCCAGAATTCTAAGTAGGTATCAAATCCATCTGCTGGACTCATACTCTAGAAAGGGCATGAACAGCAAGGTAGCAAACTTGTGGGTGACATGATATTATTTATGGTAGTAAAAACATGACACATGACAAAAACACCATCTCATGATACTGAGTAATCGGGTGATAAAATGAAGGAGGAATTTCAGTGTGGATATGTGTACTATAATGAGCAAAACAGACAACTTCACATACAGAGCCAAGGGTACTGGACTAGCTAGTTAGATCTCAGAGATTAAATCCTTGAAGTGCTATGAAATCTAGATATATTTATGAAAATGCCAGATCCATATCCAGCTGCATTCAAAAAGGCAAATAAAATTTTAGGATTTAGTATGGAAGGAACAGAACTGAAAACACTGCTACGTCCTTGTATAAATGCATCTGATATGCCTACATCCTGATGTTCAAGCCCACTAGCTCAAAAACAGTAATGCTGCAGCCAGAGGAAGGTCCAGGATGTGGGATGGCTATTGTATTAGGATTTCAAAATAGGTTAGAAGTATCTGTCTGAAAACTGAAAATGTGATTGGGATACGAGAGAAGTCTACGAAATAATGAATGGCACCAAGAAGGCAAATAGGGAATGATTGTAATTGACTCTCATAACAAGAGAGCTAGGAGCATCAGATAAAATTATTAGGTGGCCTGTTCAAAACAAACAAAATAAGGGCTCTTCTTTTACACCCTGCTTTTTTTGGAGCGTGCCACTAATTGTCACAGGATGCTGCAATGTCAAAAATTGATATGAGTTCAAAAAGCAATTACACAAATTCATGGAAGCAAAAATCCATCAAGGGCTATTAAATTTAAAGATACCACATCTGTCTCAGGGAAGTCCCTGAGCCACAGCTTGCTGGAGTTTGGGACAGCATGCCAGGGAACTATCACTGCGTGCTTACCCCTCTCTTATGCTGTTCCCCAGGCATCAGCTGTTGTTTGAAGCAGGCTATTGGACTGGATGGACTTGTCTCAACCAGCATGGCTGTTCCTGTGTTTGGATGCCAGGAAATTAATTTTTCCACATCCAGTCTGTCGGAAATGATGCCCTTTCTTTCATACAAGGACTTGGGTAGGATAATTCATGAATTTGTTATCTCTTGATTATTGTAATCACCTGTAATGGGACTTGAAGTCCGAGGCAACACAGACGTTATTCAGAGCAGACGTGGTAGTACTCTCTACAGCATGAATAAAAGCAAGCAGTGTAATTTTTGCTGGCTCTTAGGGCCCTTCCTCTCCCCCAACCCTGCTAATTCCAGACCTAGTGCTCAATCTTTGAGGCCTGAATAGACAGGGCTTCACTGGTCACTAGAAATTCACCTATCAGAAATCTCTGAGACATGCTTTGAAGTGCCACTTTCATGGGACAGGAGCAAACTGCAGAAGCTTATGACAGCCTAAAACCTCATGAGCAGCCTGCCAGACAACAAACCTTTTCTTCTTTATGCATTTACAATGTAGATATATTCTAAGATGAAAGCTATCCTTCAAGCTTTTTGCCACCCACCAATGCTTATAACTGCGACCAATTCCTGTGGTAAGCAGCTTCCTGATGCTCTCAAACACACGAACAACGGGTCGCAGATACCCTGTTTTCTGCAGAGGCTTGTTTCTCCTTTGCACTGCACTGGCTGAGGCGAAGATTGAGAGCTGCGGCATGCTTCCAGCGCTTGACGAGTCACCACGGCACACACACCAGAAGGTCTGCCTTTTCTGTCCATTATCTTCAATGGCAGCACGGCCGCAGAGCCCCGATCCTGCACTTCACAGGCGTGCAAAGTGCACGACGATCTAAATTTGCCTGCAGGAAGACTGGATTAACCAGCTTTTCAGGGGAAATCATATTTGAGCTAATGGGCCCCATGTGTTGGTAGCTATGGTTTGAGGTAGCTAACGTTATTCCAGAGCCTTCTGGCTTTCAAAAGGGGATGGCCATGCAATGATCACTGCTGAATTTAGTATTATTATTATGACTGCTATAACACATGCTGAAAGAGCAGCCATGAGACTCCCGAACCCCAGTTCCGATGGAGCTCAGTGCCAGCCCCCAGCTGCCACCTTACTTTCCTGGTGGGCACTAACCCTCCTGCGGGAGGCACGGATCCCCTCCCTAAGGACCCGCACCTGGAACGACCACTAGCTACTCCGGGAGTGCAGCGGTGGCCGCGCTCCCCGCACCACACCGCAGGAGCTGCCGGGCCGCGCCGAGGCAGCCCCCCTGAGGCCGGTCTCCCGGCAACGCCGCCGCCGCCCGCTCCCCGCCGCCCCTAGGGGGAGCCCGGTGGCCGTTGGCCGCTCAACCGCCGCCTGCGGGGCAGGAGGTGGTGTGTGTCGCCCAGCGCCATTAACGCGGCTCGGGTAGCAGCGGGGCTCGCTGGCGGATTGCGGAGGAGGGCGGTCCGGTGGCTCACCCTCACCCCCCGCTCTCATGAAGGCGGGAGGTCTGCGGAGAAAGCTCTGCTTCAGCCTCCTTGCAGCAAACGCCCCTCCTTGCCAGCGGTTTCAAGTACACAGCGTAACAGTTCTTGCTTGGCTTCTCCGTGTTGAGGAGCTGGATATTGTTTGAGGGAGGAGGGGTGACACTAGGGAAGCAGCAGAGCATTGCTCCTCAGTTTTCTGAATGTGGTGTGTGGGTTGAGTGTCCGTGTTTCCCTCCTCCCCCAAAAGAGGTTGCAGACTCGTATCACTTCAGGTCTTCAGACAGTTCTTGCCACACCGTTGTGGGTCAGATAGCTAAATACTGTATGGAGAGTAAACTGTTTAGTAGCTGAAATATGCAAGTAATTAACAAGTGTTACGAGACAGGTTTGCTCAGGTAGTTGAGTTAGGGTGCTGGGACATGTTCAGCCACTGGGGAAATGGGGATGGGGGGGATTGTCCCTAGGTTATGGTGGGAGCCCCAGCAGAGGCATGCCTGGAGCCGGCCCTAGTCTGATCCTACCTCCTCAGTCTCAGGACTCAGCTTTACTTGTTAACAGTGTGTGTGTGGGGTCTGCTGTGGGTAGGGCTGGGATGGACAAAGGTAGCCAGCAGCTCAGAAGTTCTATAGCCAGCACAGAAAACAAGTGATTTAAAAGACAAAGTTTATTTTATTCTAAGGTGACTTCACACCAGTGCCTGGCTCTGTGGAGAACAGAGTAAGTGGGGATTATTAAAAAAAAAAAAGTGATCAGTCAGTTTATGTTTTTCCAGAAGTTCCGTAGGGACTGTCAGCTCTTAGAGCCAAATCTTGTGTTTGGAACATTCAGGAGCATGAGGTATTCTGGAAACGGGGGTGAATAGGTGCAGACATGGGACGGCTACACATAGAGGCTCTGTTTTGCTGTGGCACAAGTGTTTCAATCCTGCTGCGTGACACTGTTGACTGCTCACAGTCAATGTTGGGAAAGGGATTTTTTCCCATAGATGATAGACAGACATACCAAAGGGCCTCCAAGTGGCAAAGCAGATGTACAGAGCAGCCCTGGACTGGCATATTTCACTTCCCTGCAAGAAACTTTAGCATGCAGATGTGATGAATTCATGCGATGGCTGTGTTGACATTTTGATCTGACTGCACTGATTCAGCCTGTTGCTGTCATGACCTGGCAGTGCAGCCTCCCTTATCAAGAGTACATCTCACTGACTGAAGAGCTGTTTGCAGGGAGGTGCTCAGGCCCTGGCAGGGTGTGTGGCAGGGCATGTGTGACATCCAGGAAGCTATGCTCCAGTAAGGAGGCTCTTTCCAGTAGACACAGGAGCTGTTCAAACACATGCAACTACTGATGAAACAGCAAAGCAAAACAGAGACAGCCAGTGGTGGTTTGTTGACTGGGGCTGGATTATGTAACATGGAGAGCAATATTCAGCTGGTGAGTTCTATCTTAGAGTCATAGAATCAGCTGGGTTGGAAACAACCTTTAAAGTCAGCAAGTCCAACCATTACCCCAGGAGTGCCAATTCCACCACTAAACCATGTCGCTGAGGGTCTCATCTACATGGTTTGTGAACACTTCGAGGGACGGTGATTCCACCACTTCCCTGGGCAGCCTGTTCCAGTGCCTGAGCACCCTCTCTGTGAAGAAATTGTTCCTAATATCCAGTCTAAACCTCACATGGTGCAGTTTGAGGCTGTTACCTTTTGTCTGTTAGTTAGTTGGGAGAAGAAAGCGCTTGTTAGTTGGAAGAAGAGACCAACCTTCACCTCACTACAACCTCCTTTCAGATAGTTGTAGAGAGAGATAAAGTCCCCCATGAGCCTTCTTTTCTCCAGACTAAACAATCCCAGTTCCCTCAGCTGTTCCTCATAAGACTGGTGCTCCAGACCAGCCTTGTTGGCCTTCTCTCGACCTGCGCCTGCATCTCAATGTCTTTATTATAGTGAGGGGCCCAGAACTGAACAAAGTATTTGAGGTGCGGCCTCAGATGCTAAGTTAAGTATACCCTTATCTTAACCCTGAGGAAAAGCGATCCTTCCTGCAACACTTTATCCTTTTTGACATGCCTCTACTCATCTGTCACACAGCTACAGGTATGGTGACAATGGTAAGACCAAATGTTCCCTACCTTTGCAGGGATGACGATTGCGTTAGTATTCTTTCATAACAAACTCTAATCACCAGCAGACAAGTTACAATCAAGATTTTTTTCCATACTCAGCCCCACTGCTGGTTCAAGTAGTGTATCATTAGAATGATTGGATAACAAATTCATGTACAATGCTGAAATTAAACTTGACCTGTCTAATCATACCATAAATAGCAATTGGAGGTTGTGGGGGGGTTTGTCTTAAGCTGTCATCCACACATCCAATCTAAAATGTGTTGGCATTGTACTTGTAGTTGGTGAGAGGAGGAAATGTTAGCAGAAAAGGTGTATGGAATATCAGGATACACAAATGAATTATCTTGTACCTGAATAGTGTGCTTGTTAGGAAAATCCCTGTGGAAAAAAAAATCCAGTGTATTTGGCATCTGCGAGGCTGAAGATGAATTCTTCATACAGAACTTCTGTGATTTTTTTTGGCATAACTTTGCAAAAAGCTAGCTGGTTAGGCCTGCCCTTGTCAGTGTTTGTCAGCAGTTACAACAGTCACCAAGAGACAATTCCCCCCTCTGTATGCAGAATAAGATACAGCTGTCCTCTCTCACACACCACTCTTGGGTGGTGAGCATTGTACAAGGTCAAACAGCTCTCTACAGAGCTATAGGAAAGACATGGGAAAGCACAATAATACTGTGTCAGAACAAATAACATAAATAACCTATACACCACATGAAAGTGTAATAAAAAACAAAACAAGAAACTTCTTTTCAGCTTCTTCTAAAGCTTATCCAAATTCTCTAACATAGAGTGTGGTGGAACTGATTAATCTTAGTGCCTTGTGAGGGAGTTCACTGGAGGTTTGCAACAACACATTTTATTGATGAAGTCTTTGCCCAGTAGGTGAAGTGTGAGAGAAGTGAAAAAACAAGTGAGAGTTCACCATGTTGTGGTGGTTTTAGGTGATGCTTCTAATGTACCTCATTAAAAAAAGGGAAGGTAAGATGAAACACAGATAGGAGACTGCAAAATCTGTCCCAATTTTATGATACATAGTATCTTAAAAATACCTGTGAATTAGTGTAAGTGCATAATGTATAGTAAGTGCACAATTTGGCCTGGAAAGTTATTCCAAAAGAAAGTGTTAAGACTATAAGCTAATACTCCATGTAGTACAAAAATACCCCACCCTAAACAGAAAACATGGTTGGTAGCAAGATCAGCAATATACTACTGAAAGTCTTTGTTATCTTTGTAGCTGGGGAAAGTTTATATTTCACTGGAAATAGTTAAGGAAAAAATATATATATTTTTAATTTAGGCAAAATAAAATAAGAATTTTGAAAGTATAATTCAGAGATGAGAAGGATTCCTTTTTTTTTATTTCAGTGTTCTTTTAAAAATATTAAGGGTAATTTCTATTTAAGGATTGCTAGTAGTGACAGATAAAGATAATGATATCCATTTAGGATAACTGTCTTTTTTGCTAGCACAGAGTATCTCCCATTTATGTTGTAATGCTCAGACTGTCAATGTTATTTCATTACAACTCAAATAGAAGATATATGAGAATTACAGCTGTTTTGGTACTACATAGCAGGAGCCCTTATTGATGTGACAGTAAAATGAAACCATTTTTCAACTGTTCTGTTATCACATAGGTAAAATAATAGCACATATGCCATGAGCTATATATGAACATGTGAGGGCATTGTGGACGGGTCTCTATAAAACTTAGACATTACAAAGACGTTTTAAATTAGCCTTTAGAATAGCAATCAGATTTTACAAATATGTGTAACATTTGTGGAAAATGGATTTTTCTTCCCCCCAGAGCACTGTCACCAGGAATCTTTGACAATAAGAGATCCCACTAGTTCTTGCTATACGTGGGTTTTAAAAGGAATGGGTGATCTGTCTGAATTTGCAGATTCCCTCCTCAAGCAGCCCTCAGGTGAACTGTGGCTGAAAGGTTGCTGTGTCTGGTTACTGGTTTGCAGACTATGTGGGATGGTCTGGATGTCCTGATAGACAGGCTTCCATTTCCATACTTGAAAATGTACTTATGAAAGAAGGCTGAGGAGAAGACACATGCCTAGCACAGATTTTAGGCTTCTCCTGGGCATCAGGTAAGTGCTAGGGTTACCATTCCTCTGTTCCAAATTCAAGCACTGTTATGCAGAACCAAAACTCAGCCCATGATTTCTGCTTGACTTCAAAGACCAGCGAACCATGGAATCTGCTTTCAGACCTCTCTGTGCTCTGGACTATTGTTGTTGTGTGCTCTCCGCCACTTCCTGTCTTTGGTTATTTCACCAATGGAACATAAAAAATAAAGTTTAAAATGCTGATTTCCATAAAGACAGTGTGTCGAGTCTTTAAAACACTGTTTTTCACCTTCTTTAAAAAAAAAGAAAAAAATTGTGGGTGAAGTAAGTATAAATCTTTCTGTAGTCAGTTTACACCCACAGGCTGACAGTAGGCTTGCTTCTTGTGGTTGCCTTTCACGGACCTCCCTTAGAAGTAAGCTGTAGAGCAGGAATCTGCAAAGTGAAGGTAGAAAAAAAACGCTTCAGTGTACTGAGACATTACTGGAGACTGAAGATATGCAGGGGTTCCCATCATAGACCAAGCAAAATTACATCGCTGGCAGGCTACATCCAGCAAAGAATTTATTCTTCCATTCATTATTTAGAGTACACATTGCCTTTTCAGTATAAGATATGCGCAGGTCCAAGCTAAATAGAGTTCCAGTCACTAGGGCCTCCAAGTAATACCTTGATGCAAATGTTAAGCACTCATAATAAGGCTGTAACTACAACTGGTTTCCCATTTGCTAGATGCAGATACTCAGACCTTATGTTCCCAGAGGACACATTGGACATAATACAGAGCAAATGATGAGCCTGGATTTGTTAGGTGTGGAATGAAACAGAGTAACACACTGAAGTGAATGAATTTCAAGTGTGACCAATAAAAATAAGC